GGGACATTTGTCTTTTTCTTCTTTGTGTTTCTTATTTCCAAAGTTATTTAAATCTGTTAATTTGTCTAGCTTAGAGTGTGAAGGTTGTCAACTTGGAAAACATTGTAGACATTCCTTTAAAGCTAGTAATAAAAGATGTTCATCTGCTTTTGATGTTATTCATATTGATGTGTGGGGACCATACCATGTTCCTTCTATGGGTGGCTACCGATACTTTCTTTTATTTGTGGATGATTTTTCTCGGTATTCTTGGATTTACTTGATGAGATCCCGTGATGAGGTGCCATCCTTGGTTCGACAGTTTCATCAGATGGTGCTAACACAGTTTGGGGTATGAGTGAAAGTGTTCAAGTCAGACAATGCCAAGGAATATTTTGAGAAGAACCTTACTTCATATCTATCAGAGTATGGAGTAATTCATCAGAGCAGTTGTTCTTACACTCCACAGCAAAATGGTGTAGCAGAAAGGAAGAACAAATACATTGTTGAGATTGCGAGGAGCAAGATGATAACACCTACTGTTCCAATTCGATTTTGGGGTGACGCAGTTCTCACAGTAGTCTTTCTGATTAATAGGGTGCCTTCTCGTGTTCATGGATATAGCACCCTATTCAGCCTCCTTTTTCCTGAGGGGGAGATGTTCCACATTCCTCTCAAGGTTTTTGGTTGTGTTTGCTTTGCATATGTTCTTGGTCCTCACTGCTCGAAGCTTGATCCGAAGGCAAAGAAGTGTGTTTTCCTTGGGTATGCAGAAAATCAGAAAGGACACTGTTGCTAAGATCCGGTCTTTGGGAGTCGGTATGTTACTATGGATGCCACCTTTTTTAAGTCCACAGCTTTCTTCCAGAAGGGTTCTTCTCAGGGGGAGTGTTTTGGGGAAGGAAGTGAACAGTCTATTCCTCTTCTGAGTGAGCAATCTATTCCTCTTCCGGTTCAGTCCTTGAGTCCACTCTTGTGTCTGACTTTCCTGTATCTAATCCTCCTATGTCACCTACTTTACCACCTCCCTTGCGTCTTGTTTCTCACGACAACGCCTTCGTCTTCACAGGGAGGTTGATTCCACAACAGAAGAACCCACATCACTTCCTATTGGCTCCTTTGAGACTCCATATTCGGCTGACACTGACTCAAGTATTCCTTTTGCTCCCTTTGATGTTTTAGTTCCTATTGATTCCACTAATCCCATTACAAATGACCTTGACCTTCCTATTGCGCTCAGAAAAGGGAAGAAAAAGTGTAATGCTCATTGCATCTCATAGTATCTCTCCTACAATGGACTTTCTCCTTCTTATCGAGCCTTCCTTTCTTCCCTCGACTCCGTGTCTATACCCAAGGGGGTCAGTGAGGCTCTCTCCAAACCTGAGTGGAAGACAACTATGTAGGAAGAAATGGAAGCTTTAGTTAAAAATCAGACGTGGGAGATTGTGGATCTTCCAAAGGGCAATGACACAGTTGGATGCAGATGGGTTTATACAGTCAAATACAAGGCAGATGGAAGTATAGAAAAGTACAAGGAAAGACTGGTTGCAAAAGGATACACTCAAACCTATGGCATTGACCACTTAGAGACTTTTGCACCAATTGCAAAAATGAACTCTGTTCGGATCCTTCTCTCTTGTTGCTACATACTTTTGGCCCCTTTTCCAGCTTGATGTGAAAAATGCCTTTCTTAATGGGGACCTACAAGAAGAAGCATATATGGATCTCCCTGCTGGTTTCTATAGTGATGCTGAAAACAGAAAGGTATGCAGATTGAAGAAGTCTCTTTATGGTTTGAAACAGTCACCCAGAGCGTGGTTTGACAGGTTCAGAAAGGCCTTGATTGCTTTTGGCTATACTCAGACTCAATCAGACCATACTTTATTCGGAGAGGGTCCCTTGTGTCAGTTCTGATGGTTTATGTGGATGACATTGTAGTTACAGGAAATGGCCCGAGTGAGATTGATAGTTTGAAGAAGAATCTGCACAGAGAAATTGAAATTAAGGATCTTGGGGAGCTGAGGTATTTCTTGGGCATTGAGGTAGCGAGATCAAAGCATGGCATCTTTATCTCATAGAGGAAGTATGTTATGGACCTTTTACAAGAGACAGGGAAACTTGGGACAAAGGCAACTAGTACCCATATTGATTAGAATCACAGAATTAATGCATCAAAAGGTGAGTTGGTGAAAGACATTGTGAGATATCAGAGACTAGTGGGGCGATTGCTATATTTATGTATGACAAGACCAGACATCTCTTATGCAATGAGTGTGGTGAGTCAATACATGCATGCCCCACGAGTTCAGCATTAGGAGGATGTTGACAGGATTCTTACTTATCTGAAGGGACACCCAAGTAGAGGTATACTATTTGTTGACCATGGACAATTGGAGCTAGAGGCTTACACAGATGCTGATTGGGCTGGATGCCTAGATGACAGAAGATCTACATCAGGAGTCTACACTCTTGTTGGAGGCAATATGGTTTCTTGGAAAAGTAAGAAACAAACAATTGTGGCAAGATCAAGTGCAGAAGCTGAATGCATAGCCATGACACATAGAGTTTTAGAGCTTCTCTGGATCCGGTCCTTGTTAGGAGAAATTGGTATTGAGGCAGAAGAACCTATGATGTTGTACTGTGATAATCAGGCTGCAATTAACATTGCTCACTACCCAGTTTAGCATGACAGGACAAAGCACATTGAAGTGGATAGACATTTTATAAGAGAAAAGGTGACTTCAGGGGAAGTTTGTCTTCCATACATTGCTTCTGATTTGCAACTTGCTGATGTTCTTACAAAAGGTGTTGCAAGAAACAAGCTGGAGCATGATCTATGCAAGTTGGGAATGCGTGACATCTACTCCCAACTTGAGGGGGAGTATTGAGATTGGGCCGAATTTATGTTATTTGGCCCAACTTTGTTTTACTTTTATTTACTTAATTCAGTTAGGAAGTTATTGGGCCTTAGGCCCATTAGTTTATGTTAAGCTAAGTTGTAACTGTTCAGCTACTTCAAGTAGCCGACCTACTAAGGGTATCATTGTACTTTTCTATTCTTTTTATAAAGTATATAAATCAAAGGGGGGGGGGGCAGATCTATTCAATTCTGGCGACATCCCATTCTTTTCTCTTCTTCTTTTCTTTTTCTTGCTGAAACTCTTCAACTTCTTCTTCTTTTCTTCACAAAGATCACACTAAAACAACTTTCAGCAACTTCTACTCTTTATTGTAAAAATCAGATAGGCAACTCTGATAGTAATCAAGTCAAGAACAAACCTTTCACTTATGAACTTATTAGAAAAAATTGTATTCTGTCTTCTTAGCTGCCCCTCAAAATAGAAACTTGAACACTCCTCCACATGATCTTGCCTCTCCTAGCATGAGGTGAAAGAAAACCAGACTTCAACAGGCTTAGAACATTAACAAGGGGCTGAAATAGGGTCAAATATCCCTACATAATCTCAACTTCTTTAAGGCATGCACTATGCACTTGGTAATCCAATGTTTTCAAACCATCATTGATCTAGATGGACAAACCACTGACCAGACAGCTGATCGGGTCCAGATTCTTTTATGGTTTGATTGTTACAATGGGCAAACCACCAGGTTGATCCATTGAACCAGTAATCCAGACAACTTTCTGGTTCAACATCCAAGTTACTTTTAAACATTGTTCTAGCCTTCAGGCAACCCTTAAGATTAAGGTTATTATAATGCAAACTAGCTTGTCTCCAGACTCTCCACCAAAATTGACACTGTTTCTTTCAAATGCTACCAGTAATCTTTTTTTTTTTTTTTGATTGGTAATTCTAATTTCTACCAGTTAACTTATGGAGTGGATTTTGGATTTAAAGGATTTTTCTGGTTAACAACTAGACAAATTTTGTCTATAGATGACTTACTACTTTGGATGTGGAGGGTGGTATGCAGTATGCTTGAAGGGTTGCAGGTTTGTTTTTGGGATCTAAGGTTCTCTTTGGACAGCTCTATACTCAAAATATTATAAATGAAATCCTTTCTGGTTGCTGATAAAAGAAAACATGGAAACCCAACACTGGTTAAGTTCCACTTGTGTCCATTTATTTTCTACCACCCAGTTGATTATCTCCATAAGAATACTACTGCATGCTTCTTCTAAAATACTAAAGACCATGATCAGATCATTTGTCTTCTCTCAAAAATGTGTATCAATTGTTCCACAGTATAGTGTACATAAGTGTATGCTGTCTTTAGCCTTCAAAAAAAAAAGTGTATGCTGTCTTTCATTTCTGGAAAATTTATACTTTACAACCTAAGTACCAATCATAATTTCTCACAATTATAAATATGGAGGAATACTCTATAGTATAATTTCATATTGTTTTGGTTCTAGTTCCCATGGTTCTTTTTTTTTTCTTTTTTTGTTTCTTTAGCTTTTACCAAAGCCATTTCGAATTTCTTTTTATTTTAGTTCTGCCTAAATTGAGATAAAGTTTTCCTTTTACTAATGGATTCTTGAACTCTAATTATCCTTTATCCTTTTTCAAATAGTTATTCTTACTTCCATGCCAAAGAGAAAACCCTCCTACAAGGACAACCCATTTCTTTCACGCATTGTGTTAAATTTCATCGAAGGTATAACTCATCAAAAAAACAAAAAAAAAAAAAAAATCATCGAAGGTATAAAGTACAAAACTCTGTTTAGCTAAAAAAATACCTAATAATATCGAGCAAGATACCATATGAGTTCAAGCGAGCTCTGTTTCCAACAGATTCTGAACCAAATCCAGGAGATCCAATTTTGATGAGTTTTAAAAATTAAACGAAGATTATTATAAATTTGCAATAGCCATTTTCATTTACAGACTGCAAAGAACAAAACTCAAACAGAAAAGGTCTCAGAGGAACATTTTATAGCCTATCCACATGATTCAAACAAAGGCAAAGAATATCAGAAATTGATTGATATCGAGAAAAAAAAAAGCAAGAATTGCTTGAACAATAGAAACAGAAAAACAAAATTAATCTGAAAAATTTACCATGATATCGGGGTTGCTCTCTCTAGGGAGCTGAGAACGTGCGTACTGTGCAGTTGTTTCACACGCTTTCAGCTAATCAGCTTCCTTCTCTCTCCGTCTTCTGGTTTGGCTTTCGCAGTCACCTTTTCTTCATTTGTAAAATATCAAAAGTCTAAACTCGCTGTCTCGCTCGAGGCGAGTCGGACCGTCGGAGTGGACATCTGAAGAAGATTACGTGTAATTCGCATACAACAAGGTATCAATATCAGCCACTGATAAATGGAGCTAATAACGAGATGGACGGTCTGAATTGGTACCACTATTCCTCCAGTGGTTGAAATAGGACCATATAACGGATAGGCGTAGGTGTAGGTGTAGATTCACACGACAGATTCACACGACACACGTACAATGTACAGGATATTCATTGGAACAAAGAGCCTGACCGACTGTAGACGACGATGAAACGAGTCAAACGACGACGACTGACGGGTTTGTCGCCTCTATTGCTGATTAAAATCTGAATATATAATACCAGAGATCCCCCCCTCATGAACTGGTAAGCATATTCCTCGACTTCCTGATTACGGAGAAAAGAATCTACCTGCAACTGCATACTTCTTCTTTCTTGACAAATTCTCTCGTTTCTCGGATTGGTGATGGGAAACATCAGTGAAATAAATCATGGTGGGATGTACTTTTTGGATGTACTGCAATCCCATTAGAGAATTAGTTAGTTAATTAGTAATTTATTGCTACCTTGGGAAACGATTAATTTTCTATATTTCAAAGCAATCCATATGTTAATTCTGCTTGAATTCTTTGATTAGCATCTTATTTGGGATACAGTTGCTACATAATGTTGGACTTGTATGCAGCTTTCTAATTAATTTAAATTGCTATTTTTTGCAACTGTGCATATTTATATTTATTAATTTATTTTTGTTACTATTTTTAATTTTTGTTGATGCTGGGTGCTGGGTTTTATTCATCTCAAAGTGAATATATGTTCAAATATCACTGTGGGTAATCATTCTTTGTTGATTATGTTCTTCCTGTTTTGATATTTGTGAAACCAAACTGGCGAACGTCAACAAAATCTTCTCAAGTCTCACGGAAGTTTTCATGAGAAAAAAAAAAACATCTTTGTTTTGAATGGGGTAAACTGTAATACCCTTCTCTCTGTTCTTTTGAATATCAAGGGCCATTTATCTTTTTTGATTTAATATCCCCTCATGCAAAGGAAAAAATGGAAAGGTGGGAATAATTGTTTTCCATCTGATTTTGGCCTGCAAATGAATTTTGAAGCTTCCTCTTACTGTTCAAGGTTGGCCAAGTAATTTACACCAAACCATTCTCAATTTTCTTTCTGATGTAACCCGATCTGGTCACTCCTTCTGGATGACAGCTCGGATGTCGGGCTGGTGAGGTCGCTTGGTCGAGCCGCAAGAGAAGAGTTACCAGAGTACCCGGGCTGGTGAGGTCGCCTGGTCAAGCCGCAAGAGAAGAGTTACCAAAGTACCCGGGTTGCTTTACCCGGGGAGGGCACTTCGATGCTTAAGTCAGCGAAGAGTTGTGAGAGCTAGAGAGCGAGAATGCTAGAGTTCTTGAGAGCTAAATCGCGCGTACCTTTTCTGAGTAATGGAATGCCTTTACGTAGCGTATCCGAGATCACCGGCCCATCTGGTTCGGAGGTGGTTTCACGCCCAAAGGCAGACTTCACGTAAAGTGATAACGCTTACCCGGTTGCCTCCGAAGCGGGCGGGACGGGAGTCAGTTCTGTCAACGTGGTGACGTGAGCCCGGAGGAGTCGAAGACGATAACCCGCTTGTGAAGGAGGTCGCCCGTAACGTCGCGTAGGTTGCTAATTGGGCCTCGGTCAAGTCGGCGGAGGTGGGTCACCTCTTACACCGACTTGACGCTTTTTGGGGCGTCCACCAATCGGCCTAGTGAGGTGGGGTCGAGGAGGTCAAGATGGGTGTGATGTGTCCAAAGTGCTCCGGAAGTTGATGCTGACATGACGTTGAGGTGTCGTTTGATGGTTCTGTGGTGCCATGTGTCGCGATGTCATTGGAGGGCGAAATCACCCTCTCATCACTTTCTATCTTGCTTTTCTTCTTTCTTCTGTGTGCATCAGTGCATGTGTTCTCTTTGTTAAATTGGGGTCATGATTAGTGCTTGATTGTTATTGAAACTCTAATTTTTTGACTTATTTCATCACCAATCAAGTAATCCTACTTTCTTTTACTTCCTTTAGTTCTTTTGCTGTCCAAACCACAGAGAATATCCTTCAGTCCCCCTTGGTTGATTCCCAAAGTTCAAATAGAAACTATACCATAGCTGCCACAGAGATTAATTAATAAATTAGCTCATTTTTACACCATTTGGATAGATTCATTCTATTTTCCTTAGTTCCACTAATTTTTACTTCTTGAAAGTAGGCTTTAAACCACATAGTAAATGAATATTTTATTTATTAATAAAATGAGCCAAAGGCAAGGGCATCTCTGAATACAAAGGACCAGAAACAAATATACATTACAAAATCAAGACCCACCGGATTAATCAGAAAGGACAATGACTCCCCAGCATTACAAAAACCAGAGAATAGGACCCCATTAAACTCAACGGTGGAAGCACATGAAAATACTATTCTTTCAATTTTACCAATCATCATTTGACTCTCACACATTTTCCTTAGAAGATCCTTCTGTTTCTCTCCTTCCAAATGCACCAACAGATGGCAAAAGGAATCAGGTTCCACAAAATCCTCCCCCCCCCCCCCCCAGTTGCTATGCCATCTAGATGGCCAAGAACCAACCAGACAAGCTAGGTCACCAGGAATGCTCCAAACTGATATTGAAAACCCGCAATGAAAAAGAGAAGATTCTGTACTGATTCTGAGTCTGAGTTACATAATATACAAATATTGGGTATTACTTTGACATTTGGGAGAGAGTTCTTTCCTCCACCCCAATGTCGAGTCTCATAATGTACTTTCTGAGAGCCATTTGATGAATAAAAACAATCATTGATGGCCCCTATGTCACGAAGGATGTCTAATTGTGACATATGTATGTGAATTGGGATAAGATGAATGAAGCAAGATCACAGCTAGTTACTGTATGATTCATCAAGAGACAGTAAATTGTCATATTTGCTTGTATGTAGGAAAGGATTCTCCATTTGTGGTGGTTGTTAGAGTTTACAATAGAACGAATGGGGATTTGCTCCTCACAGAGTGCACCTCACACCGACCTCACAGCCCTATCCCACCGTGTATTGGGAACATCTCCCTGTGAATAACACTACAAAGTACGGGAAACGTTCCCGATGTGCGTCTGGGAGGCATTGTGAGGTTGGTGTGAGGAGCATATTTGTACTTCATATATTGAAGTATTAAGTACAGTAGCATATCATATTTCCTAATTTGATATTTCTGGGCCAGATCATCTGTTTCTATCAAATATTTGAATTACGGCCATTTCCAAACAAAATTCACCATCTTTATTTTTAAATAGTGTCAAACTCTTCTTATTTAACTTTACCCCTTGTTTCCTATGTCAGGAAAACATTTTTGACTAGGTTATTATGGTAAATTTGTTTGTCTTTGTCAAAGTTTTTTTACCATAGTTTATCTGGGAGAATGTCTTGATAGCACCTTACTTTTATTTTTTAATTCCCTATTTTAATGGTCATCTGTTTCTGTGCCAGCCAAGGAATGAGTGAGTAGTGTAAAGAATAAATGAAGACCTGCTGCAACATCTCCCATGGAAGCTGCACAGAAATCAAAACATCTTGAAAGGCCTTATGCTTGAAGCTTCCCTTCATATTGGAAAAGCTTCATGTATTCTGTTGTGGAAGTTTGCCATTGTTTCCATTTCAAAGGCAGATCCTTCTTTACCCAACAGTCTCTTTTAGTGTTTGGAAAATTCCATATGGACTACTTGATTATGGAATTGTTTGTACAGTTTCAAGGCTACTTCCTCAGAGAAATCATTCTAGATTTTGGCTGGTGATGACTAAAGATCCATCAATCATAAAGAAATCAAGCATAGTTGCTTTGAAGATAAATAACACCTTTCAAGCATGCAGGCTTTGGATTTGTCCCTAACCAAAATCAAGGATAATTGTCTGATGAAGATGGTGAGCTTTGTCCTGTTGACTGTGAAAGAGAATTTAAGAATTAAGACTGGTAAAGAGTTCTTCAAATCTTAGAGAAAGGCCAATGGAACTGATTCTTTAGTTATGGTATATTTTGTTGTACTTCGTGTGAAGCTGCAAATATATAGAGAGGGTCTTCTCAAAATTATGCAAAGGATCTGGAGATCAGAAGGCTACAATAATATTCTTAGAGCACAATGTGAGCATTGTTTTAATTGATTTTGTTCTGTTCATTTTGGACTATTAAATTTGGCTTGCAATTCCTGATGTTAGCTTATCCAACCCATGTGATTTCTTGCATTCTGATTATTAGGAGAAGTTGGCAAATAATGAGAAAAAAGGCTAGAAAGAGATCAGTTGGATTGTTTATTGCTTAAAAGATCAGTTTGAAGAAACCCATCCAATGATGGGTCCCATCTCTCTAGAAGTAGAGAGGGTGGTTTCTTCCTCCAGTTCCTGATTAAGTTATCCTCTTTTGAATGTAATATCTATGATCATGCAACTTTAAATATGGTTTGATAACTGAGAATTAAACAATGCAACTTTAAATATGGTTTGATAACCCATCCACGGATCCCAGGCCCATGTTTGGAAACAGACTTCTAGTTGAGCAAGTGTACAAACAAATAAACAATGGCCACATCAGCAAGGGGGTTAAATATTGGTAGTTGGAGGAGGGGCAACTTGTTATCAACGTTTTAAAATGTGGAGGCGTTAGCGAGTCATTCCACTACCTAGAAGCGTGACGCAGAATTCAGAATGTAAGAGGTGTAACACAAGGAGGTGTAAGCCTCCTTAAGAGGAGGGGGATGAGGAAGGAGGAGGAGGAGGAGGGGGAGGAGGAGGATGAAGTGGAAGGAGGATCTCATTTTTCTTTATTTTTAATAAAAATCTTTTATATTAAGAAAAATGAAGATGCATAACACTAGCTGAAAGAGGTTGGAGGGCGAAGCTCTCAGCCCACTTTCTTTCCCCTTCTCTTTCCTTGCCTTCCCGTTTCTTTTCTTTCTTTTCTCTTTTCTTTTTTTCTTCTTTCCTTTCCCTTTATTTTCTTTTATTTTCTTTTTTTTTATATGAGGTGTGTGTGAGGCGCATGAGGAGGCGTATGCCTCTAGCATGCCTCATGAAAAAAGGTGTATGAGTGTACGCCTAAGAGGTGTCAACAACTCTGGCATGCACCTCAGGGCGTTTTGAAGGCACTTCGCCTAGAGGCACGCCTTCAGGCATATGTCTTCCATACCTTTTAAAACATTGCTTGTTATAACAGTATGTGACAAAATATGGTTCGAATAAGATGTAAGCCATATAAATAGTAGCACATGAGTGCAAACAGAATAGAGATTTGCATTTTTGACTCCCCCTTCTCTCTCCTTCTCCCCTCTCTCTATTTCTTTTTTCTCTCTACATCATGTAGGCTAGTTCCCTTAAAGAACTCTGAGTTAGGCAGGTTCATAACGTAATGCTCAGAGTCCTTGAGTTCTCTGTATCTTATGTCTTTCTAGTAATTGTGCCAAGATATAGTCAAAAGTGCATTTACCTCGGGCTACATTTGGTTATCTAAAAAATAAGTGTTATAATTCAGTTCTGCCTTAGAGTTCTGTCTATCTGAGATCAGTTATGTAGGAGAAAGGTGGAAGAAAGAGAGAAAGAGAGAAGGGAGAAATTCTGGTTCGAACTAGAAGACTCAACATAACATCTCCCAGTCGGCCAGGCAGTATTTATATTATTAAAATTAATTGAAAAGACCTATGTGCCCTTACTTAAGTTAGGAGCACTGGTTCCAACACAACATTACAGATCAGCAACATTAATATAGGTATAAAGACAGAAATATCCCTATGCTAACACTCTCCCTCAAGCTGACATATGTAGTCCACTCTTCCCCGACTCAAGCCTTTTGTAAATAAGTCAGCCCACTGATTTCCTGTATTAACATGTGTAGTGTCTAGCTCTCCATTCAGCACCTTCTCCCTCACAAAGTGACAGTCAACCTCAATGTGCTTGGTTCTTTCATGAAACACTGGATTAGAGGAGATATGAACTGCA